GCGGGCGTGTGGGGGGCGGTGCATCAGAGCGCAGGTGGCGCTGCGAGTTAACGTACTTGTCCTCTCAGAGGTGATTTGAGATAATTTAGTAATAATAGCTTGGTAATGATGTTTTTATAACTGGGCTGGAGAAAGTCCCTTGGTATCAGTAGCAAGATACGGTTGTCGCTCCTAGGCTCTGTTTCTCTGGCGTTGGCGTTCTCGTATGCGCTCTGAAATCTGTGACGTTCCGTCCCTGAAGTTTTTTAGGGAAGGTCTGTTCTCTAGGTAGTTTTCTGTTTGTGCTCTTCAGAATAAAGCTGAGTTTTGAATCAAAGCTATATTCTCTTCTTGCATGATTCTTAGTCGTTCTGATCGTGGCTATCCTAAATTTGGTATGTTATAATTCAGTCATGTGTTACTTCCACATGCCTTATCTGTACTGTTTTATTAGCTTAAACTAGTAAATACGAGTAGCTTTATCTGTTACTGTGAGAGCCTGGTTTCTCTGAACTAGCTTCCTGGAAATCTCTTGTTTCCCAGCTCAGGTCTGATGATAAACAAGGTCTTCCACGTCATGGGGACTCCCCAGTGCAGTCTGCACACCTAAATATGCCTGCTCCGAGTAAGGAGACTTCCCTCTTTAAGGTGGTAAGTTGTTCTTTTTTTTTGTAATTGTTATGCAGGTAGGAATTGCAAACTGTCTCGGTGCAATTCCTGTTATATTTGAAGGACGCTTATGTTCCAGTCACAGCTTATTTTCTTGGCAGAGCTAAGGGTGTTCATCACTACAACTTACAAAGTTTGTTGTTGGAGTTACTTGGGATTTGGGTACAAAAGCATGAGTGCATGTTTATCCGTGTTTATTATTGAGTGGTGCAGTACTCTTTAGAAGCACCAGATGTCAGTAACTTAATGCGAAATGTGTGTTTGTGTGTGCAGATGTGTACATGCAGGCATAAACCAAAACACTTGGTTAGGGCATTTCTAGGATTCAGAAATAGAATGAAGGAGAAAATGAAAGTAGGCATTATTATTAAAGAGAATAAAGGAAGAGGTTTTCAGGGACCCAGAAGGCCACTGGGTGTGGAGCTTTCCTTGAAAGTCAAGGAGAACTAGGAGCATAAACGCTATTTCTGCTAATGGAAATAGTCCTCAAAGTGTGGTATGTAATTTCTTCAAATAACTGCTTTACAGAATAGAACGAAATCCTTCTTTAGCGGACCAAAGTCTTTTCTTCTTCTGCTTTATTTGGGAATCTGCCTTTCTTCCCTGGTCCTGTTTTGGGATCTGGAGTGAGCTTGGCTTGAAAAGCAAACTTTTAAATTAAATCAGCTTTTCCATTCTGAGCTAGATGTGTGCTGAGGTAATTCCGTGGGCTGCGTTTTTAAAGTTTTGTTAATTTATTTACTTGCTGTTATATAAAATTAACTGCCAAAGTTATTAACGCAAATACATATGTACACGTTGAACACATTTGTCTCTGCGTTCTAAGCAGCTTGGTGCTACAAGTCTGCTGGAAGCCCTGCTACAGGAGGAGGTGCTCTCCAGTGCTCTGTGATAAAGAGAAGGAGGGACAGTTTTACTCCCTGGTACTCAGCCTGTGGTTGAAGGTGCTTCAAGCTGTGTTTATGAGTGGGTCCTTTTTGCCCCAATAAAAAGGGGAGCTACAATGATATCTTATGGTTACTGTTGACCATAGATATTTTACTGATCTCCCATTGACAGAATACATATCGAATAGACGTTCTGTGTCAATCATGCTTAGTTAGAATACCAATTCCAATGCCCAATCTGTGTACACTTCTTTCAAAGAATTCTACTGCTTTTCCTTTAATGTCTCTGAAATCTTTTATATCTTCACAATATCATAATCTCTGTTCAGATTTTCATCCTTTTTTTTTAAATCTGCCACCTGGAACATGACACATTTGTCCTCTCTGGCCTGAAGTGTATTACTAAGAAGGATCTTTTTAGCTCCTTCTTTTTCACCTTTGTATTTGCTTTTTCCACGTCTAGTTCAAACACTTTACCTTATCCATCATGCCATATGTGCCAACTCCATGACTCGTCGTGTGCTACATTTTTCTGTTTTTTCTAATAAAACTATCAATTTTCTAATTCTGAGAGCTTTTCTTTTTTGGCCTGTCTGAAATAGCCTTCCACAAACACTGTACTGAACAACCTCATTGTCTTTATCTTCAAGTTTACTCTTTTGTGTGCCTAGCATAGGTAATCATCCTCTATCTCTTGCCTCCTCATAAATCTATCATTCAGCTTGTTTTACAATACCAATCTACTTGGCAGCAATGGAAAGGGGAAGGAAAAAATCTTTATAGGTGGCTAAAGACTCGGTATTTTGTTTTCAGGTAGCTTTTTCTGTCTTTTTTCAATACTGTGATTTAATTTAGGTTATGAAGTCTTTGAGGCAAAACAATGTTCCTATTGAATTTAATAGAATATCTGATTGATTTTAGTCGGAGAAAGAGAAAATTCTTATATTCAATTCTAAACAATAAAATATAATTGATATTTATAATGTTGCTATTTCCATTTTCAGATTTTTTTTTTAATAAGACTATTTGCTCACTATTGTGTTACTCTTAACTACTTTATTAATTCCATTTTAGTATACCTAGTTCTCAATTACTTTTACATTAAATATTCATGTTGAATCTCTGAACTTCAGCAAAAAAGACTGGAGAAATGCAACTTAACTCTTTACAGAATGTAATTTGTTTTCCTCTAATAGGAGTGCACTCTAGATTACATTCAGTCTATATTAACTTGTCCTTAGGCAATCCCAATTTATCTTCACTCCAGGGTTAGCACTTCAGGATATTTAAATCAATCAATGAGTTATCATCCCCTGAAGTTTGTGGCCTGAATTCATAAACATTAATTTCAACGAAGTTACTACCTCTATTCAAAAGAGACTGCAAAATCAAATGATCTAATTACAGATTTATCAAATATTAATCATGAAAATCTTCCAGATCTTTCTGATGCCAACATTCTTCTCCCCTGGTGTCAGGAAAGTAATTAGCAGCTGGCTTTGATTAAATTCTTCCCTCAGAGAGTACTTCCCTCGGTTTGGGAGAGCAAATGCATACAAGATGATACCTAATTCCTCGCTTTAAAATCTTTTTTGAAAAATACATATAGGTTCAGTTCACTGATCCTTTTGAAAGTAAGACTATGTCAGAGCACTGATGAGGTGCAGAAACATTCCTGATGAGCCTGTGTTCAGTAATATGTGGACTCTTTGCAGAAAAGTCATCTCGCACCAGACAAGCCTGGGTCTATATTGCTGCAGAATTTGGGACTGCACATGACATTGCTGCAGTAGGCCAAGGGGGCAAGACATAAAAATGGAAGAAACTCGGTCTCTGTCCAGGAACCTGTAGTGATTTTCACATTAAAATGTGAAGTGCAAAAGCTCTGTTTTCCTGTTATGTTACTAAGATGCTCTTTTTCCTTGTCAGTCACCCTTTAGTGATAGTGGCTTCCTCTTGGTAGTTTGTACTGGATGCAGCATGGGAAGGAGTCTGAGCAGGGGCAGAAACATCGAAGTGACAGGGATGTGAACATGAACTTTCCCAGTCGTCGCTTCCCTCTGCCCAAAAACTTAACTCTAAACCCTGATTACTGTTTTCCTTCATCATCTCCAGACTTGCTGGATTCCATTAGTCTGTGAGCCATGGAGCCAGAGATGCCTCTGCAAAAATAACGTTGGTGTCTAAGACAAGCACAGTGTAAATTTTCAGCTGTTTCGTACCCTGCTTTTCATTTCCTGAACTCTTGTATCCACCCCAGCTCTCTCTAGATGCCTTTCAGCTGACCTGTACTTTATTGCGCAACGTGGGTGGAAAATTGGCTGGACTGCCAAGTTCAAAGCTGTCATCAGCAATACGGAGCACAACTAGTGACTGGGTACTACTGGTGTTCCTCAAGGGTCAATACTGGCACTGTTTAGCATCTTCATCAATGATATAGATACAGGATAGATTGTACTTGCAGCAACTTGGCATGTGATACCAAGTTGTGGGGAGCAGCTGATAGGTTGTAGGGCAAGCTGCTAGTTACAGGCACCTTGGCAGGCTGGGGAAGTGAGCTGTCAGGAGCCTCCCGAAGTTCAGCCAAGGCAAATACTAAGTCCTGCCCCAGGCTGGAGTAGCCTCCTGCCACAGGCCAGGCTGGGGCCTACTGACTGCGGAGCAGCTGTGTCACAAGGGACCTGGGAGTGCCAGTGGACAACAAGTTGAACGGGAGTCAGCAGTGAGCCCTTGCTGCAGAGAAGCCAGCCGCATGCTGGGCTGTATTAGTAGGAGGGAAGGCAGCAGATCAAGGGAGGTGATCCTTCCCTTCTCTCTGGCACTTGTGAGAGCACGTCTGGAGTGAAGTGTCCAGTTTTGGGCTCCCCAGTGGAAGACACACTGACGTGCTGGAGCGAGTCTGGTGGAGGCCACCAGCCTGGCTGGGGGCTGGAGCACAGGATGTTCAAGGAGAAGCTGAGAGGGCTGGGTCTGTTTATTTGGGAGCAGCAAAGGCCAAGGAGAGATCTTAGTTATCTGCAACTACCTGCTAGGAGGGCATAGAGAGGACATACCCAGACTCTCCTTGGACGTGCACAGTGGAAGCACAAAAGCAGGAGGCACAAGTTAGAACAAGGGAAATTCTGATCAGATATTAGGAAAATAGTTTTTACCATAAGGGTGGTCAAACACTGGAAGAAGGGCCCGGAGAAGCTGTGGAAAGTCCATCCTTGGAGATATTCAGAACTCAAGGGGATGAGGCCCTGAGCACCTGATCTGGAGGCTGGACCAGAGATCTCCAGAGCTTTCTTCCCACCTGAACTAGTCTGTGAGTTTGTGGTTGAAACAGTCACACGAGCTGGCAGAAGTTCACAAGGGCTGTCTGATGTGTCTCATGTCATAGTCGTCTCCTTCATGAGGTACCACGTGGAAATGTAGCTTTTCCTGTGGTCAGATGCTTCTGTTTTCATGAAAACCTCTGGATTCTTCTCACACACATATAGAATGCTTCCTGACACTTGAAAATGGGTCAGAAATAGTCTTTAAAAATTACCAACTGAGCCGTTCAGACAGAGAAAACATTTAGTTGAGTGTTACGCCTTCACCAGCTTCACCAGCATCACTGGATGAGGTGAAGGGACTCCGCTCTTGCTAGTAGCAAACAAGAAGCTGATGTTGAACTGAACACCCTGCGAATAAGGAGCTGGGAATGGAAGTGGACCATATAAAGGTGAGTGTGGTTATGACTAGAAAATACCCCCTTTCTGAGTGTTAGCCAGCATCTGTACTCATTCAGGTAGATGTGGTGTGCTTCAGTATCTCTTCAGCTCCATGGCACTGCTGTCCTAATCGTGTTTATGTGCATCATGAATGACAGATTTGTCTTGCTCAGTATAAGGGGAAGCTTGCCTTTCTGCTGAGAAACGTGGTGTTTTCTGAAATGTGTAGACTACTGCATAAGCCCAGCCCCAAGGATTTTTGCTGCTCTCTTCACTTTTTGCAGGAATGAGGCCTTAAACAAAAGCTCTTTGCCTTCATTTTTATTTGCTAGCTGAATGGTAAAAAATTTTTAAGCCTGTCCAAATGGAGGCTTTTGTGATTTTTCAGTGAGCATCAGAGGTGCAACTCTCGCTTGTTTTCCCGAAGGCAGGGTTTCCTTCTTATTGTGGGTCTCTGCTGCTTGTATTATCTGTAGATGGCCAAATTCACTTTGCAGATAATCAGATGTAATTCATCTGAAGACAGTGGAATTGTACCTGATTGAGTGGTGTGTTTTGGCTTGTAGGTGCTTAATTTAATATCGTAGGGGCTTGTTAAGTGGTCATAAAAATAATGAGATATTCTTTATTTCAGTCATACTTATAGAAGAATTTTTAAAACATTTTTTGAGGTATCTCCATTTCTATGCAATGATTAATAGTGCTGATGTTTGCAATTTACCTAACAGCATCCATTAAACTTCATTAGGACTTAGTTAAACTGAAATTAAGATCACTGACATTGATTTTTGGTCTCTAAAACCTGTTCACAGCAAATCACTGATTATGCTAAATAACATCTGGATCTCATAGCATGCCAGTCGCATTCCCTGTAGTTCAAATGTGCTTAGTAAGCAAAGGAAAGAGGGAGAAGGGTCTCAGCCTGTGGGCCCCCCTGATATTTAGAAGCGCCAAGAATCTGACTTGCAAGGGCTCAGCCCTGTACTAGTGTTTTTGAATTGACAGACTTTGGGTATCCTTTTGCTTTGGCTGCATGTGTCACTGCTGCGGTTGGGGAACTTCTGAACGTTGAGCTCCAACTTGCCCTTGTTTTTTTATTTGTTTCATTCTCTGCGTTAATTTTCTGCTTGAATATACAATTGCTGCTTCGCCTTTGCTTGACCTGCTAAACTGTTGTGTTTGAAATGAGGAATGTCGATGTCTAAGTGCTAGTGAAATGGTGATGAAGCAGAGGGGAAGAAAGGTTTTAACATACTCTTTCTCTAGAAATGTAAACATCCTCTGGCTATAGGAAGAGCAAACTTCCCCTGGAAATGTATGTGTTTATATGAGCAATCTTTTTTTCTTCTGGTGTCTCCAGATACTAGGCTGCAAGTAGATTTATTCACTACCACTGGGAAAATAGGGGTTTTGTTAAGTGGTGCAAATGAACAAGATAAGTCTTATCATATTTTGTTTTTTGTTTTTTTTTTTTTTTGGTTGGAAAGACATCCCCCAGATTTATTTCCGTAAATCTGAAAGGGATTTCCTTCTTTATCTCTGGGACTTTGGTCTTTATCTCATTCAGCTCTCCTGGCTGTTAGAATGCACCTCCAAAGTGAACAGAAGGTGGAAGTGAACAACTGACAATGGACTGGGATCCAACCCTGCTGGATTTGAGGGAGCTTTGCTGGAGATCTCTCAGCGCACACTCCCCTGGATCTGTAAACTGCCAGTGTACTTTTTTACCAAAGGGAAGAAATGTATCAACCATATTAACCTGGGATTGGTAGTTTCAAAATATGGAGATCTCCTTCGAATAACAAACCTGATGTGTGGTTATCCAAATGTAAAGGACTTTGTAGTCTAAGACAAAGACGTATCATAAAATCCACTGTTTCAGAGTGTCTCTAGAAAAATCCAGAACAGTTTCAAACCTCCCCGCTCACATGTGGGGAGTGGAGGGATTCCCTTCCCCTTTTCCTCCAGGTATCATGTCCTGCAGTCACGGGCACCTCTAGGACACTACTGCAATGCAACATAGCTGGGAAGCCTGGAAAATGGAACTGGGGGATGTTCTCAGGCTTGATGTTTTAGGAGGTAATTACATTTACAACTAAGGGATGCTGCTCCCCTTCTGAATCTGTCTCTTTGTGGAGGCTGAGTAGGGAGTTTAGGTATTAGACTTTCAGTGCCTAGAACAGCACCAAAATTGGATGCCAGAAGTAGCTTTTGTGTAATGTGAATTTGATCCATACTGAACTGGAACTTGAAAAGGGAGTATTTCAAATCAGGACTCCTCCAGTGCACTGCTGTTTTGCTCGACTAAAGTCCACTTATCCCAGGAGTGCCTTTCTTGGGTGGAGAAATCTGAGAGGAGGAGGGAGGAGATGGAGCTTTTTGCCTCTTTCTCACAGTGGGAAATACAGAGGGCTGAGCAGGCTGGAAGCAGTCTCAGTCCCAGCTCTTGGGTCCTCAGCCGCATATCTGTTTTAGACTGTGGTCTTCAGGCACTTTGCTCAGGGTCCGTGTGCCAGATGTGCTAGGTGGTGAACTGGCAGGTAATAAGACAGCTTCACATCAGAACTATTATCAAAATCAGTGTTTTCATTGGACGCTTCTATTTTGGTAAATCTTTACTTCTCCATCTGAGAAGTATTCTCTCGGAAAATCGGAGAAGTCAAAATTCATGCTTAAACACAGTGCCATCACTAATAGACTACGTAGTGCATGAGATTCCTCATTTATTGTTTTTTAAATATGTGAGTTCATACTTTTTAACCCTCATGGTTATGAAGTATGTCTCACAAGAAGGTTTATGGTATTATGTATTGCCTATGAGTTATTAGACTCTGTTTCTGTCTGGCAGGGAATGAAAGAGCCCCGCATCTGGCAGTATGTAAAACCAGATATCACAAAACTTCCCACTTTGAGGAGATGGGAAATATGATGGATGTTGTCATAAAGTACATCTTTTGACATGTAAGACAGGACAGTTGGAAGCCCTTTCTATAAAAATTTACTGAGCTTAACTAAACCTCCTGGCTGGAAGCTCGAGGAAATCAGTCACTATGAAGCATACTTCATGCCATGCCATGCAATAGCAGGAATATTTAAAAGGCTGGCCTCTTTTGTTCTGCTGCTGTGTGAGCATATCCATGACCGAATTTTGCAGAGAGGAAGATAAGCAGAGTCCAGAATTTCAGGGATCCATCCAGAAAACTTTCATAGAAAGTCTCACCCTATGTTTTCTTTGCCCAGATTCAGAGCCTGTTAAAGTCAACAGGAGACCTTCCAATGACTTCAGTGAAAATTAGAATAAAATACAGACATTAAGGTAAGTCACATACTAGTAATTCCCAAAATATTTCCTATCATGGGTGAGTGAGACAGAATCTACATGTGCCTGTGCTCCACAGTTTCAGTCTTGTACTTAGAGGGTAAAATTGGCCCTATAGAATAGGGTTGAGTAGAAACAGTTAAATTAAGAGTAATGCTAATTACGTGACTGCTTTAGTACATTCTGCCTTGTAATATATCTGTAGCTAAACCTACTGACTTGAAGAGCATCTTTTTTGTTAAGAGCAGAGCAACATACTTCTGCTGACAAATCTGCTTAGGAGCTATTGCATATTTCTGTCACCAGACTCTCATTCCTACTTTGCTATTCTGCTATGGTATTTTTGGCATAGTTCCATGACACAACATCTATTTATGCTTTAGAAAGAGTAAGAAATTGTATAATTTTCATAACATGTTCCTGGTAGGTCTAACATTCTCTTTTACCAGTTTAGGAATAACAAACACCTACTAATTTGCTGCTGACAGATTCCTTTTTTCTTGTTGTAATGGCTAGAACAAATGCCTGAAAACTGCATTTTGCATGTGTCAGTCTCTTCCTTTTTAAAGGTAACCTAAAATAAAGACTCTTTACTTCCTTACGTGAACTTCAGAAGAGAACATCAGACGTCCTTTTCAAAAGTTATGGTATGAACAGATGAGATCAAAGGAAGACTACAGTTAGGTGAAAATGCCATGCTCGTATGATGAAAACTGTAAAATGTTATGGAATCTGTGCTGCATTTCAAATTTAAACTTGCAAAGAGCAGCTTAAAAATTTCTTAACACAGATCTTGTTGTATTTTAATTGGTCAGCATATTTAAAGCTCCTGAAAAAAGAAAATCAATAGCATAAGTAT